TTTGACCCCCAGCTTCGAAATCCCAACTCGTTTTCGGATTACCCCCCCACGTCCCGAATATCGTGACCGTACGTCGAGCGGTTAAGATTTGTGCCCAACTGTTGACGGACGGACGGACGGACGGACGCTCGGACGGACGGACGGACGATCATGCGATTCTACAAGCTGCAGGACGGACGGACGGACGATCATGCGATTCTACAAGCTGCATCTGACTATGTCAGATGAGCTAAAAAAAAAGGGAAAAAATAAAAAAAGGAAAAAACGGGAAAAAATCGCAACAGTGCATCGTAGACATTCGAAAGTGTATAGTCAGCCGAAAACACAGAGACACGAGTCATACGAAACGTGTCAAAGTAACAGATCCATTTATGTTTTACGAGAATGACACAGCTTGTTGAACCAAATGAGAGTTCTAGTACCTTCGAAATGGTAGAAGAAGAAAAAGAAGTGGTAGAAAAAGCGCAAAGGGACAAAGTGACAGCAGATTCAAACCAAAGGGACAAGAAACTTAATCGAGCCATTGAAAACGTTACAAGATTAGGCCATGTATAGATCTAGAAAACCTAGGAGTTTTAGTTTTAAATTCTTGTAAACTGCGTGTTACAATATGTACAGTTGTGTACTATGTATGTAGTGGCCTCGAGCCGGCCTCGACCCGAGTCCTCAAGTCCAGAGGGCTCGAGTCCGAGTCCGAGTTCGAGTCATTGCACTCCGAGGCCAAGACCGAGACCGAGGCTAAGACCAGCCTCGTGACCTACAACACTGGTGTGCACGTGTGTGTGCGTGCGTGCGTGCGTGTGTGAGAGAGATAGAGAGAGAGCTAGAGGTGTGTGTGTGTGTGTGTGTGAGAGAGAGAGAGCGACAGCTGTGCGTGTGTGTGTGAAAGAGAGAGAGAGAGCAAGAGAGGACGAATGAAAGGATAGACGGCAGCAGTGCATATATTATTATTGTATATTTTCGGCAATCAGCAGAGCGTCCCGTCGCGCAAACATGCGTGGACGCGAGTGGCGCGATCACTGTGTGAGTGGATGTCTGGATGCGTAGCCTGGGGGCTAGGCGACCGGTTCCGGACGCGTAGCCACTGCGATCTTTTTTTGCCTGTTGCGGATCCTCGCAACTCTTCGGGAGTCGGGACCCACACTATGACAATAATAACCTCATAACCCTACAACGTCTAATGGACTTGACTTAAGAAAGAATTACTGATACGCCGTAAACAGAGTACTAACGCACGAAGGGTCGTTGTCGTATAATGGCGTATATTATGTACCCGAGGTAACTATTTAATATGGTTAGGGTTAGGGTTAGGGTGTTAGGGTTAGGGTTAGGGTTAGGGTGTAGGTGACATACTCGCCGACACCTCGGGTACTATACTCGGGTACATATACGTCAACGACCCCTTCAGCAGTACTGACATACATCATTACATGGGGCATACACGCGATCTCATAATCAGGTAGGCCCTAATGGTAAAACTAATACTAGTAATGCTGAGAGGGTCTATGTCCACCAGGGTACTATCGGAGGGTACCCTGGGTATGGTTCGATATATCGGAACGTACCCTGGTACTATCTAATATGCCAGACCGTACCTCGCCTACTCCACTAACGAGTCTATAGGGAGTCGCCTATTCCCTAACCCTAACCATATCAGATAGTTACCAGGGTACTTACGATATATCGAACCTAGCTCTAGTAAGTACTATAGCCCGCGTACAGTACGCTTGCCGCAGGCCTGCAGCAACCTCCTGCAGCCTGCAACCTGCTAAATTCTGCCTAAAGCCTAAAGCCTGCTACGCAGCCTGCGGCAACTGTACGCGGGCTATAGTACTAGAGCTATATCGAACCGTACCCAGGGTACCCTCCGATCGTACCCTGGGCCTGGGGGACATAGACCCTATGAGCACTAGTAGTAGTAGTCCGAGATTCCTCTGACCAATGCCCACACCGACGATTTTGGTGGATTTGGTGTGGGTTAGAAAGATTCCTCTGACCAATGCCCACACCGACGATTTTGGTGGATTTGGTGTGGGTTAGCCCTAGCTCCAAGAAACGGTATTGCTAGGGTTAGAGAACTTAGAATACCTGTACCTGTAGCAAGACCGTACACAGGAAATTTTCAGTGGGGGGGGGGCAGTAAATAAGAGAAGACTTAGACCAGATCGAGCTACCCCTGGAAACATTGTTATAAACCCACTGGGGGTTGCAAATTTAAATTTATGGGGAGGGGGGGCAAGTGCACCCCCTAACCTCCGCTATGTACGGCCATGACATGTAGTATACCTGTATATAGCTCTAGTAACGCTGATAGGGTCTATGTCCACCAGGGTACTGCCAGAACGTACCCTGGTACTAAATACTACTATCTAATATGCCGGACCGTACCTCGCCTACTCCACTAACGAGTCAAGGGAGTCGCCTACGCCTACTCTCTAACCCTAACTCTAAAGTCTAACTCTAACCCTAACCCTAACCATATCAGCTAGATAGTTACCAGGGTACGTTCCGGCAGTATCCTGGGGGACATAGACCCTATAAGCTCTAGTCAATATAGACCGCGTACATTTGCCACTGCCAGCGGCAGTTAATATAAGCGGGCTATAGTACTAGAGCTAACCTGTATATTGACGTTAGTCACACAGCCTGGTCGGGTTAGGTTAGCCCTAAGCCCTAGACTGAATAATTCTGTCCCATATAACCTTTTTTATATTTTGGTGAGGGTTATATTGGGACAGAATGGGATTCATTGAAATTTCGTGAGATTGCATGCAAAATGCATGCGCTGCTAATGCGGCCCGTACGCCGCTATTGGCGCGAAAAAATACCTATCGTTCCCTTCTACATGGCTTTACCTTGCTACTGATATGTGGATACATTCACTTCAATAGTTATTTACTTCTTAAAAAATTGTTTTTCAGAAACCCCGCTTCATTAACTTTAGTAAATTACGTTGGCCATTTACAAACAATCAGACCAATCACAGCAAGTCTTACAATAGCCCCTGGTTTTCGCTTGTATCTGTGGCGCTGCAGGAGGCCCTGATAGACTCGCTGTGATTGGTCTGATTGTTTGTAAATGGCAAATGATTTAGGAAAGTGGAACGAAGCGGTCTTTCTGAAAAACAATCTTTTAAGAAGTGAATAACGATTGAAGTGAATGTATACACATATCAGTAGCAAGGTAAAGCCATGTAGAAGGGAACGGTAGGTTTTTTCGCGCCAATAGCGGCGTACGGGCGGCATTAGCAGCGCATGCATTTTGCATGCGATCTCACGAAATTTCAATGAACCCCGTTCTGTCCCAATATAACCCTCACCAAAATATAAAAAAGGTTATATGGGACAGAATTACTCGGTCTACCCTAAGCCCCTAACCCACACCAAATCCACCAAAGTCGTCGGTGTGGGCATTGGTCAGAGGAATCTCGGACTATAGTATTAGTAGTACTACTACTAGTAGTAGTAGTAGCACCTGGTAGTAGTAGTAGTAATAAGATTAAGACTGTGAAAGTGTGTTCGACGTCAATCAATCAGGTTGAGGTTGCTAGATGATAATATTGACACTGTGACTGTACGCGTGGACACTGTCACTATGACTGTCACAGTAGCCAAGATTGATATACAGCCTACAAAAAAACGGCTAAAAACAATAGCATACCGCATGGTCTGTATTAGCACTAGTACTCTAGCCAGCGGCAGCTATCCGCGGGCTATAGTACTAGAGCTAGGTGTGTATATGCTCACCACGGCAACCCGATTCATATTTCAATCGTATTGAAAAGTTCTCACTCAGCAGTAAAATCATGCCGTCTTGTTTATTGTTATACGCCAGCTGAAACTTGTTTTTCATTGGCCGCCGTAGGAATTCCCATAATTCAGTAGCAGTCATTATTCATTTAGATAATTATTCATTATTTCAATGCACATATCTTTAATATTAGAATTTGCTTTTTATTCTTATACAACATTTTTTAGGTACATACCAAACATAAAGTTAAGTTAAAGTTAAATCCTTCCCGCGCCTATGTGGCGGTGCATGCCTATCTCCGTTTCCGTAACCGAGGCCTCGCAGCTTCTTTCACAGTAAATGCTATATATTAGGGGCCGGGTTAGCCCTGGTAGCACTGCGAGTTAACTTGCCACACTCTATGTATCTCTATATAGCACACCAATAGAGCACCAATCATAACTGCCGCCAAACTATGGCATTCTTATTGTCCATGCAGTCACGTGGTCGTTGCAACATAATATAACCAGAGCACGCAAATCACGGTGATTTATATGGAAAGCCATCCCTTTCAAAAATCATTTTCAAACATTTCAAATACACAATTTTAAATCAATTTAAAACATCTTAAATTGATTAATAAAAATACAAATTACGTTATATAGTTTGAGAAATTTAAATTCAAAATTCAAAATCAATTTATTAACTTGCAAAACAATTCACAACTTTCCAAAATAATTGCCTGATAGGCATATACAAATTCCTTCACATCATTGTAAACATTCATTTTCTAAACGTAAAATTTATTTTCAAAACAACAAACCAATTTATACTAACTTTCAATTTAATTGAGAACACGTTATATCCAGGGGCGGCGCCACAGGGGGGGCAGGGGGGGGGGCGGTCGCCCCCCCTATCATTTGCAAGAAAAAGGAAAGAAGAAGAAAAAGAAAAAGAAAGGAAAAAAGAAAAAGAAAAAGAAAAAGGAAAAGAAGAAGAAGAAGAGGAAGAAAAAGAAAAAGAAACATCTTGCAAATGTCTTGCAAATGATGGGTGGGGTGGGGGGTCACCCTCCCTTCATTTGCAAGAAAAGGTAAAGAAGAAGAATATTCTTGCAAATAATAGGGGGATCGCCCAAAAATGAGTGATGTAGCCTACAAGCTGGACCACTTTCATCGAAAAATCGAAAAATTAAGTGTCGAAATTCAATCCATATAAAACCTGTGCTTAATTTGATAATCGATATCAATAGTGTTATTTCCTTGGGAGTCCAAGTTGGGACCATCATTTGTCGATGAGATGCTGTTTCCCGCGCGGAAAGGTAGTGCGTGCGTGCGTGCGTGCGTGCGTGCGCGAGCGTGCGTGCGTGCGTGTGTGACGCGATCGATATTAGCGCAGTCAGCGAGCGAGCGCAGCCACAGCCGGCTGCTGCTGACTGAGCGCGCGAGCGAGCATACATGTACGCTGGCGTATATCGTGGTATTTCCTGTGTTCTTAGTCGTATGGCGTATGGCGTATGTATGTCGCTGGCGGAGGTATGTTCTCTCGTGTGAGTGCCCTCTGTCTAGTTTTTAGTTAGTGTGCTGGTGGTGTGCAGTGGGTGTGTGTGTGTGTTGTGTATGTGTGCTGTTGTGTATGTGTGTGTGTGTGTGTGTGTGTGTGTGTGTGTGTGTGTGTGTGTGTGTGTGTGTGTGTGTGTGTGCGCTGCGTGTGCGTGCGTTCATCTCTCCCGGTCATGTTTTTTCTCTCCTCTACATAATACAACAAATTATTGTGTTCAAGTGCTACAGCATAGATTTTAAAGCAAATCACTGTTCCCTCCACATTCCGGAGACCCCCTCTTTTTAAACGTATCCAGTTTCATAGCATTGAATTTCAACGAAATCCTAGCTAGTTCGGAGACCCCATTTTCGAACATAGCCGGTTCCAGAGCATACCACATATCAACAAACATTAGTTCCAGAGACCACATTTTTAGGTCTGAGTTAGTTCCAGAGCCCCCCCCCCCCATTTTTTACTTCGCAGTGGCACATACCAGGATACCTACCATAATGTGGGTGAGTCCCTCCCCGGGGTTTTCATCTCCTTGGTATATGTTGCTCCTTGTTCCCTGCCACAATTTTTTTGCGCAGCAATTTTAGGGGCTTTGATTAGCTAAACTCTGAGAGCTTTCCCGGACCCCTGCCAGGGGCTCTCCCTGGACCCCGCCAGGGGCACTAAGGCGGGCCCTGGGGCCGGATTCATCAACGTTGCGCAAAGTGTATTGCGTATACAGAGTTTCTACGAAGTGCGTACGCAAAGCTCGTAGGTGCGATTCATCAACGCAGCGTAGCACCTGCGTACGCAAATGTTGATGAATTCCAGTGTAAATCTACTACGCCATCGTAGCTGCTGGCTGTTGAGGGGCGTGCCTAGCATAAACCAATCACACTGTGCGACACATACCATAGGAACCAAACTGATGCCTCTCTTGTATGTAAACCATATGGCGCTAGCTGTCTACAGGAGTGCTGGGGGATGTGATAGTTGTCCTCATTTTCGTTTGTATGATTGTGTTCAACACTCGATGAAAGCAGCGACACGTACGCGTGCGTGCGTGCGTGTGCACGTACACGTGCGTGCGTGCGTATGTGTGCACGTACACGTGCGTGCGTGTGCACGTACACTACGTGCGCTGCTTGCGTACGTACACGGCGCGGCGTCTGCGTGCGTACGTACACGTGCGTGCTTGTGTGCACGTACAAGTTCGTGCGTGTGACGTACAAGTGCGCACGGCGTGTGCACGTACACGGCTAACTACGAACTCGCTTATAACGAAACAATGCCAAGCTATGACAAAAAAACGTCAAAGGCGCGCCTGTCTGTGTTAGTATGGTAATTATTTATTTATTTTTAGTTGAGTAGTAATTTTATAATGTTTTCTCAATAAAATAATGCATGCTGCGGTATGCTGGAAACACCTGCGGAAATTTCGAATGGTTTACGGCATCTCGTCAGCTCGTGTAAAGTTACGCTAAAGGTTTACGTAAATTTTAGCTTGATGAATCGCACCTAAAACGGCCTCGCTTGCGTACGCGAAATCGTACGAAAATTTACTAAATAGCTGTGTTGATGAATCGCAACTAAAGCAACGTCGATTCGGTACACAAGATTTACGCAAAATATTTTGCGTACGCAGCTTGATGAATCATGAATTACCCCATGGACCCCACCCGTCAGTGCACAAGCGCACACGGTATCAGATTCTACAGTTCGCAGGGGCGTGTACAGGGGGGTCCAGAGGGTCCGGACCACCCTACTCGCGCAGAAAACGCATCTGAGGGGTCTAATTTCAAAATTCCTGGGGGAGAGCCCCCCAGACCCCCTTCGCGTGTTCTGTAAACGCCCCTGGTTTCGCCCCCCCTAAGAAAATACCCTGGCGCCGCCCCTGGTTATATCACGGTTAACGTGAACGCAAACGGTTAACCCACGTAAGTTCAAATCTTGTTTCATCATCCTAACAATTGAAATTATAAGTTTTA